TTTCTTGGGCTGTTGGAGTTGTGGCTCAGCGGCAGAGTGCTTGCCTAGCACATGGAAGGCACTGGGTTCGATTCTCAGCACTGTACAAAATAAGTAAAATAAAGGTATTATGTCCAACTACAGCCAAAAAACTTAAAAAAAAAAAAAAAGAATTTCTTGTTGGGGCTGGGGATGTGGCTCAAGCGGTAGCGCACTTGCTTGGCATGCATACGGCCTGGGTTCGATCCTCAGCACCACATACAAACAAAGATGTTGTGTCTGCCGAAAACTAAAAAATAAATAAATAAATACACACACACACACACACACACACACACACATATATATATTTTAAGAGAGAGTGAGAGAGAGAGAGAAAGAATTGAGAGAGAGAGAGTAAGAATTTTTTAATATTTATTTTTTAGTTTTCGGTGGACACAACATGTTTATTTGTAAGTGGTGCTGAGGATCGAACCCGGGCCGCACGCATGCCAGGCAAGCACCCTACCACTTGAGCCATATCCCCAGCCCCAATAAATAAATAAATATTTTTTTAAAAAAATTCTTGGGCTGGGGCTATAGCTCAGTGGTAGAGCATCTGCCTAGCAAATGTGAAGCCTTGGGTTCAATTCCCAGAACCAGACAGACAGATACACACACACACACACAGAATTTTTTAAAACCTGCCATCAAAAGTGGTTATAAAATTTCTAAAAACTGGATTTAATTTTGGCTTATTCTTCCAACACCTTCCTGGAGCCTCTCTAGGATTTCAGTAATTCTACCAGTTATTATTTGTGTATCTTCCTAGAGTTTTTGTGATCCTACTAGACCTAAAAGAATAAGGAAATTGGGGCTGGGGATGTGACTCAAGCCGAGGCGCGCTCGCCTGGCATGCGTGCGGCCCGGGTTCGATCCTCAGCACCACATACAAAACAAAAAAGATGTTGTGTCCACTGAAAACTAAAAAATAAATATTAAAAAATTCTCTCTCTCTCTCACTCTCTCTTTAAAAAAAAAAAAAAGAATAAGGAAATTATCCCAGAATAAGCTGAGATTGCAGGTTCTGAGCAGAGACCTATTGTTAGTTTGAGTGGGTCTCAGGTTCAAATCCAAGCTGCTCATAGTTAGCACTAGCACCTTTTTATCGTGAAATTTTTCTTGTTACCACGTGGCGCTTTTAACTTTCCTTATCAGTTTGTCTTCCTTTTGTATGCTTTTAAAAAAAAAAAAAATTAGGCTAGGCATGGTGTATCCCTGTAGTCCCAGCAACTCAGGAGGCTGAGGCAGGAGGATCACAAGTTCAATGGCAGCCTGGGCACCCTAGTGAGACCCTGATTCAAAATAAAAATCCAAAAGGGCTGGGGATGTAGTTCAGTGGTAGAGTGCCCCTGGGTTTAATCCTCAGTACTGAAAAAAAAAAAAAAAGTTTTATTATGGAAATTTCAAACATATACAAAATAAATTTCATAGTATATGAAACTACCAGTCAACTTTACCAATCATCAACTCATGCTCACTGACTCTGTCCCTTTATTATTTTGAAGCAAATCTCAGATATTATAGAATTTAAAATTCTTTGTTCTCTAATGAGAAGATGTTGTTGTTGTTTTGTTTTTGAGTACTGGGGAGTGAACCCAGGGGTACTTTACCACTGAACTACATTCCCAGCCCTATTTATTTATTTATTTTAAATTTGAGATAGGGTCTCACTAGGTTACTTAGGGCATCACTAAGTTGCCGAGGCTGGCTTCAAACCTGTGATGCCCCAAGTCACTGGAATAATAGGTGTGCATCACTATGCCTGGTTAAGGATAAGGATTTTAAATCACCATTATCACAACTAAAAATGTATAATAAATATTATAATAAAATATGCCGTGGAAGCTGGACATTATGTGGCACATGGCTATAATCTCAGCCTCATCAATTTATTAAGGCCCTAAGCAACTTAGCAAGACCCTGTTTCAAAAAAAAAAAAAGGACTAGGGATATGACTCAGTGGTAAGCACCCCTGGGTTCAACACCCCAGTACAAATATATATATATATATATATATATATATCATTGTTTTTTCCAAATATCCTGATTATTCCAAAAAAAAAAAAAAAAAAAAAAACAAGATTGGGGTACTGTGGATTGAACCAGGTGAGCTTAACCACTTTGCCACATCCCCAGCCCTTTTTATTTTTTTGTTTTGTGATGATCTCACTAAATTGCTGCGACCGGCTTCAAATTTATAATCCTCCTGCCTCAGCCTCCCCAGTAGCTGGGATTACAGGTGTGTCATACCATGCCCAGCCTCAAATTTTCAAATTGTCCCATAAATATTTACTAATTTTTTTCAGTTTGTTTGAATTAGAATCCAGTAAGAGTCACATATTTGACTGATTTTATATATATATTATTTCTGAACTTTGGTGTATTCCCCAGGGTTGATATATTCAAGTTTTACATAATCTGAGCCATGTCCTATCATAATCATGCCTGATTTTTGGCATGATTAAAACCTATGTATTCCAATATTATTTATAATTGGTAGGGTCACTGAGGTTTCACACATATTTTCTGCCATATCCCCAGACAGAAACTCAATCCTGGCTGCACATTAGAATTTGGGGATCTTTTTAAAGTTGTGGTAAAACATATATAACATAAATTATCACTTTAACCATTTTTTTCAGTGTATAGTCAGTAGTATTAAGTAGATTCATGTTGTTGTGCATCACCAGCACCATCCATCTCTAGAACTCTTCTCATCTGGCCAAACTGAAATTGTACACTGTAAATAATACCCCCCCATTCTCCCCTCCCCGCAGGCCCTGGCAACCCCCTTTTCACTTTCTGTCTCTATGAATTGGACTATTCTAGGTATCTTATACAAGTGGAGTCAACACAGTCTTTGTCCTTTTGTACTTGATTATATTACTTGATATAATATCCTCTAGTTTCATTCATGTTGTAGCATGGGTCAGAACTTTCTTCCTTTTCAAGACTGACTAATATTCCATGGTATCTAAATACCACATTTTATTTATCCATTTATCTGTCAGTAGTCATCTGGGTTAGTTTCATCCCTTGATTATTGTAAATAATGCTGCTGTGAATATGGGTGTTTATGTCTCTGAGACTTTACTTTCAATTTATAAATATATATATATTTATATATATGATATATATATATATATATATATATATATATATATATATATATATATATAT